GAGGGGGGGGGAGGATGCGGGTCAGGCCTGGAGCTCACAGCAGAGTCTAATCCCTCGTTCGCCCAGGCACCAGTCCCCCCATTATTTTTCTGCCCGTCCCAGCTGCCTTTGGGGTTGTAGCTCAGCCTGGGGGGGGTTAAGGTTCCTCTTGCACTGGTTTTCCCCTGTGGGGGTGGAGCTGCAGCTCCCTAGCTCCCCCTCCTTCTCCCAGGCACCAGTCCCCCCATTATTTTTCTGCCCGTCCCAGCTGCCTTTGGGGTTGTAGCTCAGCCTGGGGGGGGTTAAGGTTCCTCTTGCACTGGTTTTCCCCTGTGGGGGTGGAGCTGCAGCTCCCTAGCTCTGGTGCCTGGTTCGTGCCAGCGCCGTGCCCGGCCATGGAGCAAAGGGCAGAGCCCCGGAGAGGCCCCCGCAGCAAGGGGCAGACGCACCAGGCTCTAACAAAGGGGTTTGGGGGGACACGTGCCACACTGGGGTAACTGACCCCTCTCGGGACAGGCTGCCCTTCCCCCGCTGGCCCCCGTAGCCGGCCCTGGGGGCACAGGAGCCCTGCTGCTGCAATGCCCTGGAGGTGCACGAGCCGGCCCTGAGCCAGTGTCAGCTGCCACACGCCGCCCGCTTCACAAGCCTCAGCACACAAGGCATCAGAGGGATCCCCACCCTTCACAGGGGGAGGGGAGAGAGCAGGTCCAACGGCTGGTTCATCTCCCTGCCTGGGTACATGCTCCCTGGGGTCCTTTGGCAAGGCATTTTGGGTGCCCAACTCCCTCCAAAATCAACCGGAGCTGTAGTTGATTGGTGCCTCAGTTTCCCCTCTGTATAATGGGGATGAGCCCTGCCCCACCCCCCAGGGGTTAGGAGGATACATACATTAATGATTGTGAAGGGCTCGGATCCTGTGGGGCTGGGTCCCAGAAATAGGAGCACAGATCATCAGAGACTTGGAGCAGCCAGGGGCTACTCTGGCTTAGCCTGGGGGCAGTGTCAGCCCCGGAATCGGGAGGGCAGCAGAGGTGGCATAAAGCTCATGACCTGCCCCCTTTACTGTCGCCTCGCAGCCCAGAACGGAGCCCGCAAAGGGGCACCCCAGTGGCTTCCCTCCCACCCAGAGAGGGGGCATGAGCCTGGGGGGAGGGCAGGAGGTCTGCCCCTGCTAGTGGACGCAAGCTGCAGCCCCAAGCTCCTTGGGAGGAAAGGGGAAATCTGGCCTCCGGTGCGATGCCCCCCCTCCGTGCTGGGCTCTAAAACCATCCGAGCTGCGACCCCCCGAGGGGGAAAAGGCCCCAGACGGACACCAGGGAGCTGTCTTGTAAAATTTTACATCTTAAATCTTTATTCTTCTTTCCCCTCCTGGCAGCGTGGCTGGAGGGGTCTGACTGCAGACAGCCGGAGTAAAGAAAGGGGATGCCCCACGGGCAGGGGCGTCCCGTGGAAAGAGACGACAGGACGGACACCGGAGACTGGGGACAGCGCGCGTCGTGTCCACCTGCTCCTTCCCAGCCGCGAGACCCAGCGTCATCCCCCCACACCTGGTCCTCACTGGTGTGTCGGCTCCAAGGGAACCTGCTCAGGGCCGAGCCCTGCTCCACCGTTCTGCTGCTGCTGGGAAGGTGTCTCATGCAGTGATCAGATCCCTGCTAGGAAAAGGCCTCGGGCTATGGCCGGGACTCCGGGACGGCTGGGTGGCAGGATCCGAACGGCCGCACGCTGGGCAAAGGGGGCTCCTGAGCTGCTGGCGACTCTTGACGTGACGGGGGCCAGAACCCACAATCTCTGGAGACGGACTGAAAGCCGCCTGGGCCCGAGGCGCAGGAGTCAGGAAGGTGGAGCCGGGGGCCTTTCCCCAGCCCACAGTGAAGACAAGACGGGGACTCTAGCCGGGCTGGCCAGGCTGAAACGGGATCCGCCCAGCACGTCCCGTCTGCAGGGCCTGGCTGGGAGGCGGACGGGCCAAGCCCGGAGCACCATGCTGGGCCACACAATGTACAGCTGAGCACGCGCCGGGACCCTCCCGCTCGCCAGCCTCAGCGTGAGCTGCAGGCGAGGCCGGTCGCCCTCCTCTGGCGGAGCAGCAGGGCCCGATCCCTGCTCCGGACGTGAGGAAGAGGTGGCGCCGGGGGCTCAGTTGCGCTGGTTGGCCAGTTCCTGGGAGATGAATTTCCGCAGGCGCTCGAGGTACTGGCTGTACAGTTCAATGTCGTTGTGGCCCGCCCCCTCCACCCACAGGGGCTCCACGGCCTTGGGGCAGCGCTCGTACAGCGCCAGGCCGTGCGAGAAGTCGATGACCTCGTCTTCCGTGCCGTGGATGATGAGGACGGGCGATGTGATCCTGGACACCTTCTCGATGCTGCAGGGAGGAGAGAAGCAAACAGGTCCCTGAGCAAAGCCAGCCTTGCGCCGAGCACCGCGCGCCACAAGGGGCGCCCCAGCCCAGGCACCAAAATGCAGCCACCTCTGGGGTGGAGGAGGGGAAGCAACCAACGGCCCCCAGCCCAGGGCACAATCGGCTGGGGGGGGAGGAACTGAGGCCAGGATACCCGGCACCTCCCCACCCCACTCTGAGCTAGGGGGCAAACCCCTCACAATAGGGGCTGCATCTTCCCTAATGCCCCACAGACCAGTGTTAGCGAGATGGGGGCAGAGCTGATGGAAAGGGCCTAGGGGGAGGCTACACAGGGCTGGCCCATCAGGGTACGTCTCCGCTGCCCGAGGCGTGTTCTCAACTCGGGTTCAGAACAGGCAACGGCTCAGCCGGGTCCAAAGCCTCTTCGCCGGCCTCGGGTCAGAACGCACCTTTCCTGCTCCGCCGTGCTCCCGCTCCAAGGCAAAACGGGGGCTTCTACCAGCCTGGCCTGTCAAATCCTGGACTCCCAAGTGGGCATCTGCTCTGACCCTCCTACACGCCCGGGCCAGAGATTCCCCCCAGGCGTCCTGCAATGAGCTCTGAACTCAGGCAGCCCCAGGGAACCGCAGACCGACAGAGCCAACCGATCGCCATGGAGACATGCCCAGTGCTGGAGGACCTGCTAGGTCTCTTGGCAGGGTTCCCCCGGGCTTTTCCTCATGGCACAGCCCCGTTCCTGGCGGCTTTTATAACAGGTTGGACAAACACCTGCCTTGGTTTACTTAGTTCTGTCTCAGCGCAAGGTGCAGACTAGCGAGCCCCCCAGACCCCCTCCAGCCCGACACTTCTCCGATTGCTGCCTGTAACTGACCACGTGTGGACACAGCAATAGAACAGCCGTGGCCGGACCAGTTCGGGCGTGTCAGGCCACCAAACGGCAGTGGACATTTGGGCCCCGACCTGAACACCTACTCTGCAGCTGTACAGCCCTGTAGCCCGAGTCAGCAGAGCAGGGCCAGCTGGGGGTTTCCTGCAGCGTGACCGTACCCAAAGGGCTGTCACTGGGCCGACCGGGACTTAGCAAACCATTCTGCGGAAACGCCTCCCACGTCGACTGGGGCAATTACTGCCTGCTAGGTGCACTGAGGGCCCAACGAGGGCAGGGTGCTGTGGGTACAAAGCAGCGTCTTGCAGGCTCCTTGGGGTCTCACCATTGTGGGGGCGGGGGCCCAGGGCTACTTCTAGAGGAGAAACGGCCTTGGGCACCCACGCTGGGGCCCAGCAAGCATGGAGGCAACCCGAAACCGGGGTGGGTGGGATAGAACCGGTCTCCTTGCCCTTTCTGGGGTGGCTGGCTCTCCGGAAGGGCAGCCAGAGGGTCCCCAGTTTCCAGACACAGGCACCGATGGGGATAATCAAGCCTCCTACTGGGGTATCCACACAGAAAACAGGGCCCCCAGGCCCACCCTTTACCCACAATCCCTTGTGCTGTCCACCCCCCCTGCCACGGGCCAGCTGCAATTGGAGCCCCCGTGGGATGATCCCCGGGCAGCCTGGGCGGGGGACACTCACTTGGGGAAGGCGTCAAAGCAGTACGTCTTCTTAGTGTCGGGGAAGGCCACCCGCATGCCCGAGGTGAGGGGCGAGTGCAGCACCACGGCGGCACACTCGTAGCGCGAGGCCAGGTCCACGGTGGGCACCGTGCCGATGCTCTGCTGCAATTGGAGCCCCCGTGGGATGATCCCCGGGCAGCCTGGGCGGGGGACACTCACTTGGGGAAGGCGTCAAAGCAGTACGTCTTCTTAGTGTCGGGGAAGGCCACCCGCATGCCCGAGGTGAGGGGCGAGTGCAGCACCACGGCGGCACACTCGTAGCGCGAGGCCAGGTCCACGGTGGGCACCGTGCCGATGCTCTGCCCGTACAGGATGATGTTCTCTGGGCTGATCCCGTACCTGGGCAGGAAGGGAACCCGCGGGGGTAACTC